TGGAAAACTCCGCCAATCAAATGGAGCCTAATTGAAGTAAATTAATATGAAACTCAAAATTTTACCATATATTTATAGCAAAAAATATATATCCGTTTCAACCAAATTTGAATTTCAAATTTGAAATTTGACGTCTACAACAAAGGTTACATGTAGGCATGTAGCTGTGGTACCTTGTCAAGGCAGTTGTTAACTGCTTTTTTTAATTTTTTAAATTTTTTTCAAACTTTATTTTAAAGTTTTACAAGCACTTACTAATTTTTTTTAGGCTCGACTCGTCATGGGCCGAAAATGGCCCGTGTGACTCGTCGAGCCACAAGGGCTGGCTCTGGTCCTGGCTCGAGTCGACGCTTCAAAATAAGGCTCGGTTTTATCGAGCCACGAACCGGGCAGGTTGAGACTTTACCCGGGCCGCCCAAGCCAACAAATCACATTGACACCCCTAGGTTGGTCTGACAGAATTTTGAAAAGTCAAAATTTATTTTAAAATTTAGAAATTGCATTTGTACATGTTTGGATAATTTTCTAAAAATTTGTCTAATTAAAAAAGATTTTAGAAAAAGTCAAGCTAATTTTTTCAACAAATTCTTCATCAAGAAGTAAAAGCAAAAGCAAAAGCAAACTAACCCTTGAAAGGATGAGAGAAGTCGCATTTGAAAATTTATTTTGCTCATGTATTGATTCTTGATTCATGATATATACCTTACTCCTAAATTATTATGATGGGATAAAAAAAAAATTTGATTTTAGTTTTCTTGATTTGTACTCCTACTCGGTTACTCCAGGGATTAACTCAAGCCTCCATGCATCTTTTGGAACACTTTGTATCTTATGCAAGACTATACTACTCAAGTTGCATTATATGCTCATCGCCAATAGATCGCTCGATTGATGCTACCGAAGTGAATACGGTTTCTAGTATATGCGCCAAACATTTCATCTACTATAATCCAATCGAATCAAAATTACGCTTTAAATACCACCTAAGAATTATTGGCTATTTATATGAGTATTATTTTGAAGTTTAACTCATTAATTGACAAGTGATTTTTGTTAAGAGTTTAGCCATTAAAAAACCAACATAGCCCACAAACAATAATTTATACAGTTATTGTACGTGGAAATTACACGGTTCCAAGAATTTCAAATTCAAAGTCCAAAATTTGGGGAAGAAGGTTTTATAATTACAAATCCCTTCTCTCTCAAACTCCTCCCCACGGCTCCACACGATATCACCGTTGAGTTTGCTCCTTGTTCAGACCATTTTAACACATAAAATATGAAGTGTAGAGATATTTATCAACATTAATTCTTCCATTATCTTGTGAAAATGGAAGAACTTGTAGTTGATGTAAAATGACAAAAGTGAAGGGTGCAAAAAGGCGAATCAAAATAGAAGACACGCCACAAAGAAGAAGTAAGAGGAAAATTGAGGAGAGCCCCAAATAAACCTACCCAAAAAGCAGAGGTCATTTGTGACCTTGTGAAAAGTGCCATCGAACAAGGTAATTTCGAATTTTTTTTATTTGAGTTATATGTATGTATTAAAAAATTGATGGGTATGAAGTATTGAAGATGTGTTGTATATCTGTAATCTTTATTTAGTTCAATTTCATTTGTGATTGGAATGAGTTAGGGTTTCAATTTGAGTCTTTTGTTTTAACAAAAATGACTTTTTATTTTATGAATTATATGTGTCCTAAAGATAAATATTCCATATATGATCATGATATCTAAACGTGACCAACGTTTTATGAATATGTGACTTGAATGCACAAAAATGACTTTTTATTTTATGAATGATATGTGTCCTAAAGATAAATAGTCCATATATGATCATGATATCCAAACGTGACCAACGTTTTATGAATATGTGACTTGAATGCATACCATTCTCTATGTTTGTGATCTTATTCGTGTGGTTATATACCAATACAATATATGTGACTTGATTGCACAAGAGTAAATATATGTGACCAATTGAAAAAAACTATATGTGACTTGGTTTTAATCATCGTGTATCATTTCATCTATACGTGACCATGTTGAGATTTCAGTGAACTCTTTAGATAGATAAATTATATGGAGATATAGAGAGAAAATGAGAGGATAAGTTGCTAAAAATTAGGCAAGTGGGTTTAGATTCTTGTAGAAAGTGTCTGAAGGGTGGGGTAGTGTGTCAATGAAATTTTCAAATACACATGGGTTGGGGTGACAGAGTTTATTAGTTTTCTGCAAGTTTATTTATTCAATTTATTTATTATTTTGAAAATAAATAAAATAAAGGAAGGGGAATTAAAAAAAAAGGTTACATAAATACAAATAATGTATATAGCACTTGAAATGAACAAATAGTATAAAGAGCAAGTTTTATAAATGTAAGGAGTATACGAACAATTTCTTATGAATGATATATGACCTAAAGATAAAGAGTCCATATGCGACCATGCTATCCGAATGTGATCAATGTTTTTATGAATATGTGGCTTGAATGCTTATCATTTTATATGTCTGTGACCGTATTTACGTGACTATATTCAAATATGTGTGTGTGCGCGCGCGCTTGTGAGAGACCTGATTTAGTTTTCTTTCCAATTTGTGATCTGATTGCACAAGAGTACATATATGTGATCAATTGAAAGCATTATATGTGATTTGATTTTGAACTTTGTTTATTATTTTCTCTGCAAGTGATTCATATGTACAGTGTCATTCCAAACAAGTGTTTAGCACCGTGTCATTCCAAATACTTAATGCATGTCTGAAAAATACATAATACCATAAGAGAGTTAGTTTCCATGCAAGATTACAACTTCAGTGAAAAAGGGTATTCTTACCACCATCAAAACAAATTTAAGTCAAGCACGAAAACTTATATTGCTAGGAATATGCTTTGCCCATTTCTTGGATTGCCATGAAATCGTGATTCAACAGTAGTTGATTTACTACTTTCTTTTGAGACGGAGGGAAAGGGGATTGTTATAGAGTAAAACTTTAAATTACATTTGTAGATGAAGTTGGTGATTGGATTTGTAACTTTTATGAATATTGCATTCCAGATATTTGTCTCTTTTAATTTTTTAAACTAAGATTAAATGGAAGTGATTGTAATGAATATTAGCATGTGAGCGTAAGGTCCGATTTGCAATTCATGAATGCGATGGGTTTCAATTAATAATACCTTGTTCTTTGGTCATATACAATTGTCAAGGGTTACGAATTTGGTGAAAATGTCACAGATTTGTATGCACGTGTCTAATTTGTGATGTGATTGTAACCATAACTATTTATGCTTTTCTGATGTTTGTTGTGATTCTCCGAGTCACTTGTTTGATATCTCATGACTAAGTGAAAATAAATATATGCCATACATCACATGTCACAACACGTGTTTTTGATGTCTAAGTGATAATAAACACATGACATGTCTGATGTCCAATTGATTATCACATGCTATATGTCACATGTCACAGCACACAGGACGCAGTTCATTTGGAAAACATCATAGGTTATAATAAACATGCCACTGTTCATAGTGTATAGGGTATAGGTGGTCACATATATATGTCACGCTCCATAAGTCACATGTATTTATCAAATGCTCTTGATGGGGTTGCAGTTGTTATACTATGGTCAAATATATATAAGTAGACAAGTTATGCAACTTAGGGTACAGGTTATAATGCATATTGTAATTTGGATAGCTCACATTACACATGCGCATGCTAATCAATCAGGTTGATGCTGATTTTCTAGCAGTTTTCAGATTGTCACGCATATGTGTATATGTATACAGGTTCTGTAAGGCAAGTCCCGGACACATATCACAAGGTCACATATTGTTTTTTAGTATATTATGCTCAATTTACGGAGTCCAAGTGGAGGTCACATATTATTATAATTAGGTCACATTTTAGTCGATAGAGTTCGAATGTTTTTTTAAATTATTTCCCTGATAACGGATAAGTCGCAAATTTGAATTAGAGGTTACTTATGCTTGTGAAGTACTAACATATCACAAATTCAAGTCACTAACTAATTATTTAGAATCATGCTGTATGTACAGGGGGGTTCTCACATAATCCCTACAGAATACTCACACATGGGGATGGGTAATTTTTTTTACTTTTTTTAATGAGGTGGGTCCTATCTCATGTGAGAGGTCTGTAGGGGTTCTGCGAACCCGTACTTCTATTCAAAGGGAAAAACCCAATTATTTATTATTAAGACAACTAAATAGAGGTCACATCTCAATTACACAATTCAAAAGACAATGGACACATTTAATTGCAATTGTATTATTTCAATAAATATTTCAACTACAAGAATATGATATATCCATAATCTAACTGTACCATCAGTTGATTTCCTATCATTGGGTGTTCTTCTCTATATGATTTTGGCTTAATGTCGGAACATCTATTGCGATTGGGACCATGTCCTCCATGACGTCCACATTTGACTGTTGGTTTCCTTTTTTTGAATAATCTCTTCTACAAACATATGTACACCATTTCTACAGATTAAAATTAATATCAATATTGGTCTCATAATGAAAATAATACAATTCATAGAGTTAATACATGAATGAAATCATGTCACATTTTTAAACAAGTCACATACGACTAAAATGTATGTCACAATAGGTGAAGCATAAGTTACATCTAATTCTAGGCTTATTAGCACAAAACATCCTTACGTTTGGCCTTTAGTGCGCAAAACGTCTCTACGTTTCAATTTTTTTTTTTGCATTTTCACCCCAATTTACATTTTTGCATTTTTGTGGACAATGTCATTTTCATCAATTTTTATCCAATTTTTCAATAAAAAATTCGTGAAATGACAAATATACCCTCTTATTTAAATAAAACAAAAAGAAGAGAAAATGATAAATAATTAATTAATTTCAGTTTCAACTTTTGCGCACATTAACATGTGACGAGAAATATCGACTCATGATGAGAGCATTGAAGTTGTGACCAAATTATTTGGAATGGTTACTTGAAATATCTTTTCCCGTGTCGATCAAATTTTCCGTTGCTTGTAAATTAGAGTTTCTGTTGAACCTATGACGAAAAAAAAAAAAAATTGTTGTGACTAGAGCATTCAATTTGTGATCAAAATATCTGGTTTACCTGGAGTCTATTATTCGACGACGATCAGCTATTATGTGACCCGTATTAGTTTTTTCTACTGAACCCGTGAAAAAAAAAAAATCAATTCGTGATTAGAGTATTCAATTCGTGACCGCGATATTAGAATCGGTTACCTGAAATCTCTTAACCTGCTATAATCAAATTTTCCGTGGCTTGCCATTCGGATTTATTGGTGAACCTAAAATATAGTTACATCATAGATAAAACAAAAATCGTGATTGGAATCTTCAATTGTGACTTGAACATTCAATTCGTGAACAAAATAATCGAATTATTACATGAATTGTCTTTTCCGACGACGAGAATCTATAATTTGTTAGCTGAATTGTCCGATTATTTTCAGCACATCAAATTTATTTGAAAATTCGTGACAAAAAAAATCAATTTGGGATGAAAACGTTCAATTTTTGACCAAAATCAATCGAAACAATTACCTGCTTTGCTTTCTCCAACGACTGAAAGAGATTTTATGTCGTGAAAATTTGAACTTCTGGTGAATCTATAATTTTGAGAGGTAAATTTGTATTGTAGGGATTCCTGTTATAGAAGAAAAACACGTTTAATTGTAGGAAACAGAAATAACAGAATATATATAAGGATATTTGACTTGAAGTTTCAAATTATATACCCGACTACCCGGGTTGTGATTTGGCGTATTAAATCACCGAGTTTGATTTTTTTCTTATTGTATAGCAGGCCCGAAGGCCCAACGGTGCACACGTGCAACCCACACGGTCGATCCATGACCCAAACCCGCCGCATCTCATGGGGTGCGAGCCCTAGCCCAAACCGGGGCACGTGGCATGCCGCTGGTAGTCCCAGGCCCCACCAACGGTCCACCCGTTTGACTCAATCCTAACGTCTGTTGCTTCACGTACGCACAGATTAATCAAATATATGGGAAAAAATAAAAAATAAGGTGTTTAAGTTTCTAAATTCAAAAATCAGGTTTATAGTTTAAAAATTCAAAAATCAGGTTTTATTTTTATTTTTATTAAATAAAGATAATAAAGTCACATTTTTGTGATTAATGGTCACATATTCATAGTTATAAGTCACGAATTTATTTACTGGTCACATATCGTCAAATTTTTTGGTCACAGATCCAAAAATTTGTTATTTTAAGGTCACAGATTTTTAAATTAGTTGGTCATAGATTATTTTTGAGTCACATTTGTTGGTCACAGATTATTTTCAGTCACATTGTCAAAATTTTTAGGTCACAGATTAAATATTTGGTCACAGATAACCAAATACTTGGTCACACACCACCAACAATAACCACCAACGACGCCGCCCCCGCCACAAAATCGCCACCACCATCATAGATCCACCAACAATAACAACCAACGCACATCACACCACCAACAATAACCACCAACGTGGCCGCCCCCGCCACAAAATCGCCACCACCACCATAGATCCACCAACAATAACAACC